ATTGAAGAAAATATTTGAATAACTCTTTCCTATGAGTTGTTCCTTAAGCGAGTGTTTGTCACCCACCGACCAAACTCGAACACTTGCTGCGAATTGCATGAAACAGTGAAATAGGTGTTTCATATGAGCTATTCTTTGATAGAGTGTTGGCCAACGACATGATAAATAGGATTCTTTGCTTCGCATTGTAAGAAATATTTAAATAGTTGTTTCCTATGACTTGTTCTTGCATCGGGTCATCCTCCATAATGTCATCAAATCCGAATATGTCCTTCAAATCGAAGAAAATTCATGAATATTTTTTTCCTATGAGTGATTTCTTGATGACGTGTTCCCACGATATAGTCCAGTACTATTCTTTGCCTGGAAGTGTAAGAAATATTTGAATAGATCTTTCATACCCGTTGTTCCTTAAGCGAGTGTTCCTCGATAATGAAATCAAACTTAAATATTTGCTGAGACTTGAACGAAATATCACAATAGGTGTTTGATACGACTTATTCGTTAGGCAAGTGTTTTCTGATGATATAATCAACTACCATTCTTTGCTTGGAACTAAATGAAATAGTCAGATAGGTGTTTGATGAGAGTTATTTTTTAAGCAGATCTTTTCTGGAAATATAATTCAGTACCATTGTTTGCTTGGAAATCAACGAAATAGTCTAACAAATCTTTGATACGAGTTATTCGTTAAGCAAGTGTTTTCTGATGATATAATCGACTACAATCCATTGCTTGGAATTAAACCAAATAGCCAAATCGGTGTTTAATGAGCGATATTCATTAAGCGAGTCTTTTGTGGTGATACAATAAAGTAGCGTTTGTTTGCTTGAAATGAAACCACACAGTAATAAAAGTGTTGTTTGATACGACTTATTCGTTAAGTGATTGTTTTCTAAAAATATAATCAAATGACATTCTTTTTTTAGAATTTAACAAAATAGTACAATAGCCATTTCGTATGCGTTGTTCCTCGAGCTAGTGTTGTTCGCCGACGACCAAGTTAGACTAGCATCTTTGCTGGCAATAAACGAAATATTTGATAATTTGTTTATTACAATTCATTTTTATGCCCAGCATTCCCTGATGATTTAATCAAGTGCCTATTTGTCGTTCCAATCAAAGGAAATCGATGAATAGCCATTTACTATAGGTTGTTCCTTAATGAAGTGTTTGTCACCGAGCAAAGTAGACTCTTATCATTGCTGAGCATGAACATAATATCTGCTTAGTTGTTTACTACGGTTCATTTCTATAGCTAGTGCTCTCTGATGATATAATCAAGTACCTATTTATCGTTCCAATCAAAGGAAATCGATGAATAGCCATTTACTATAGGTTGTTCCTTAATGAAGTGTTCGTCGCCGAGCAAAGTAGACTCTTATCTTTGCTGAGCATGAACATAATATCTGCTTAGTTGTTTACTACGGTTCACTTCTATGTCGAGTGCTCTCTGATGATATAATCAAGTACATGTTTCTGGTTTCATTCGAAGGAAATATATGAACACATTTCTACTATGAGTTGTTCATATACCGAGTGTTTCTCTGTTATGGAATAAACTTCGAATATTTGCGTATAATTCAGTGCAATACTCAAATAGGCGATTGTTTTAAGTTTTTCCTGCAGCTGATGTTCTTGAATGATAGAATCCATCCTGAAAATTTCCTCCAAATCGAACAAAATATTTGATCTGATGTTTGCTATAAAATATTCTTTCAGTAAGTGCTCTGTGTTCATAAAACCAAGCGCCAATTAGTGGTTCGGATCGAAGGAAATACAGAAATGGCACTTTAGAAGTTGTTTAACGCGTGACCGTTCATCGACAATGGAATTAAACTCTAAGATTTGCTTATCACTCAGCGAAGTATTCAGATAAGTATTTCCTATCAGTTATTCATTGATTGAATACTTCTCAGGATATAACCAAGTGCCATTGTTTTTTTCAAATTTCAGGAAATATTAAAATAGCTTTCTGTGAGTGGTTCACCGCACAACTATTCGTCCACGACCGAAATCTACCGGTATATTCTCTCATAATTCAGCGAAATACTTCAATAGATGATTCCTATGAATTGTTCCTTCAGCTGGTGCTCTTGAATGATAGAATCCATCTTGAAAATTTCCTCGGAATCGAACAAAATATTTGATTTATTATTTCCTACAAAATATTCTTTCATCAAGTGTTCTCTGTTCACATAACCCAGGGCCCATTTGTGACTTGGATCGAAGATCAAACAGAAATCCCTTTTTATCAGTTGTTTATTGCGCAACCGGTCCTCGACAATAGAATTGAACCGTAAGATTTGCCTATAGCTCAGCGAAGTATTCAGATAGGTGTTTTCTATGAGCTATTAATTGATTGGGTGCTTATCACGATATAGCCCAGTGCCATTCTAGCCTTCGAACAGTACGAAATACTTGAATAGCTTTTTATGTGTGATTCGTTGCGCACGTGTTCGTCCACAACGAAATTTACCGGTATAACACCTTATAACTTAGCGAAATAGTCAAATCGCGGTTTTGTATCAAATGTTCCTAG